GTGGTGGGGGGGGGGGGGGGGGGGGGGGGGGGGGGGGGGGAGCTGCTCTGGGCCTTCACCTGCTGGCAGGTGCAGTGTAAGAGATGACTCATTGCAACAGGGGTGACCCCAGGCAATGGCCCCTGGGATAGAGCATCCAGATCAGATAGCATTATTGTGACACCTGGGTTTACCTAGGGAGGGGGGAGGAGAGAGTGGATTATCTTCCAATGACACTGCAGTCCCTCCTGCCACTGCAGCTCCTCCTCATTCAATTCCTCCGACACCGGAGAGGGAGCAAAAATGCACCTGCCCTGCAGAACAGTGCAGAGGCCACCATGTCCACCTGGGCAGGGTTGTCCCTGCAGGAGGCGCCCCACTTCAGTCCCTCTAGAAATCTTACCCGTGGAAGGGAAGCTAGCTAGAACCTCCAGGGAGAAAGTGCTAGAAAAATGTTGCACACTGTCATGGAGCCTGGACAGTTTAAAGACAGCATCCCCCAACTGGATTGTTGTCCAAAAGCCCCCACAGCCATCCTCCTCGTCATCCTATGTGGCCCCTCATCCCTGAAGACTGCTTTCTGCTCTCAGCAAGAGCTTGCTTTCCAGAACAGCCCCAGGGAGGACACGCCTCCCCTCTGGGGCCTGGGCTCCTGCCTTCCAGCCTTTCATTCCACCCACCCCCTGGAGTGGGGTGAGGTGCATGTGTCCTTTGAATTCTCATGAACTCAGCTTGGGCTGCGTGGGCTGTCCAGGCTACAAGGCAGCATGATGCTACATTGTGCCCCAGGATTTCAGAAATGCTCTCATTTAAAACCCTCCGTCCCCCACATGATGCGTCCACTCTCCAAGGGCACTCACCGTGAAGTCCCTCCTGATGGCAAAGTTCTCGGGCTTGACATCGCAGAGGTGGAGGCGGTGGGAGAAGTCGTTGTCGAAATGTCTCACCAGGTCCAGGAAGCTGAGGGCCATGTCGCTGACGGCCTGGGCCTGGCCCCGCGAGGCCCCGTCCAGCGGGAAGAGAGCCCTGTGATGGGGGCTGCCCGCTGCCAGGTACTCCACCGCGTAGA